ACTATAAAAATATGTATTCACATATTCTAAAACTTTTATAGGCGAACGGCAAATAGTGATCAGATAGGGGAACGTTATGGAGTGGGCGTTTCCGTTTTAAACATTCTACCATTCGCTAGAGTGGTTAGAATTACTTGCGAATGCATTTAAATTGTTCCCAACATTCATATCTTCTATGTGAACCAAAAAAAAGTTAAAAAAACTAAGCATTTAAAAAATACAGGTGTTTTAATATAATGTTAAAACTTTTTAAGAAAATATTGATATATGTATAAATGAATAAAACTTATTTATACTTAGAGGTTCAAATAGAAGGCGATATTACTATTTATAAGTGTAACAAATTTAATGCAAAATCGGTCAAGTAGTTTATTATTTATCGTGCTCATAAGGTGTAAATACATTGATTTGAGAAAAAAATGCGTTAAAGTTTCAAGTAGTAAAAACAAATTTTTTTCAATCACAAATAACTTGTTGGCTAGTCTGCAATACCCGAACCATATAACAGACCTACAGCTTCTTCATAAAATTCACTTTCGATCGCTAACTTGTCTTTTTGTGCTTTTCGAGCTTCTTTAAACACAGATTCGTTACGTCGTTCCTGCCGAGTAATTCGATGTTCGTCCATTTGTTCAGCGTATATTTTGGCTTGTCTCCCAATAATTAGATTTAATTTACTCATTATTTCCAATATACTACTGTGTCCTTCATTAAATAAACTAGGCGCAATATATATACTAATTTCCACTATTTTTAAGCCAGAATTCAGGTGCTTTGGAGCCAAGCGCTAAATAGTAGAGTTGAAACTTTCATTGGCATTTTGAGTGTGCCCCCCCAAACATCTTATTAATAAATTTTCTCTGGATAAATCTTCATAAATTGAATATATGTGTTTCTGAACATCTGGATGCAATGGCGCTGGATGCTTCATCAAGGAATCCGACCCATTTGATTTAGCTTTTTGCCACTCGCGCCAGCTCTCGGATCCTGACAGACAATATTGGTGATTTGGATGTTCATCTGTAGAGCACATGTGGTAATAAGTAGCCATTATCGCTTTTTTCATGTCCTCTGTACTGATATTTCTACGGATAGCAAGACCGTAGTATGTGGTAAGTTTTCTGAGTAGAGTATCTGTCAATTTTCCTTTTCCGCCAAGTTTGTAGTTTTTTTTTATGTTTCGTAGTCGGGAGCCCATCCTCTTTTCAACATGTCCAATGCATTCATTTTTAATTACTGAAAAATCGTCACCATATGGATTTTGTTGTAAATTTGCTTTGAACGTTTTGGAATCTCCGTCCTCTATACAGTTGCCGTATTTTACACCAAACTTTTCTTCGGATCTCAAAAACATCTCTACAATTGCATCGACTTCCATTTTACCGGCAGACCCTTCGTGAGTTTTCATGCAATTTTCTTTATGTTCTTCATACCAATCAATATATTCTTCTGTATTTTCTTTATTTTTATAAAATGTACAGGCTTGACAATAACTGCTTTTTACAGCTACATCGATAACTTTACCAGAATAGTACTCAATAAGCGATGTTACGGCGTATAATGCTTAAACAAAAAAACATTACCACAAATTATCTAGACGAACCAATAACTCCTTTTATCGAATAAGATATGTCCATCTCCGCCGGGACTGTAAAACACATATGCGTGAGGACCGTCGAGAATACGTAAGATCTTTGGAGCAAAAAATAAAGAAAGATCCAAAGAGTTTTTGGAGATTTGTTAATTTGACCAGAAACAGTGCTGTCTCACCAAATATTCTCAAACACGATGGTGAAACTTTTTCCGATCTGCAGACTGTGATTAATTTGTTCGCCGATCATTTTGAGAATATGTATCTTCCGGCTCCTGATGTCAGTCCTAACGGTGCCCAAGTTGCTGATGGATGGGATGGCGTTTCTTTCGGCATCTCAGAAGTAAGTCCTGATGAGATTGTGGAAGCTTTTAAAAAATTTAAGGCAAAATCTACGACTGGTCCAGATGGTATCCCCGCATATATAGTCAAAGACTGTGCGCCTGTATTATTACAGCCTCTTCAGCATATTTTCAATTTAATGATCAAAAATTCTGAATTCCCAAAAATTTGGAAATCGAGCAGAGTTTGCCCTGTTTTTAAGAAAGGTGATAGATACTGCGTAACAAATTATCGACCTATAGCCATCATAAATAATTTTTCCAAGCTTTTTGAGCAGATTGTAACACGCAAAATCGAATTTCACACTAAGGCCCGTATATCTGACCAACAACAAGGGTTTTGCAAAGGTAGATCCACAGCCACCAACCTACTCAGTTTCACTCAGTATGTATCGAATACATTAGATTGTCGAGAGCAGGTGGATGTGATATACACCGACTTTTCTCGGGCTTTTGATTGCTTGGATCATGATTTGTTGGCCGAAAAGTTGTGGAGATTTGGATGTGATCACTTTCTCACACGACTCCTAGTATCGTATGTATCCAATCGCAGACAATATGTTGAGTTAAGTGGTATGAAGTCAAGACAGATTCATGTTACTAGTGGCGTACCCCAGGGATCTATACTTGGCCCTTTGCTGTTCAACATCTATATAAATGATTTACCTGCGATTTTCAACACGAATTCACTCTTATACGCAGACGACCTGAAACTATTTAGATCTATTAGTTGTGAGCAGCACTGTGAATCAGTCCAGTTAGATTTAGATAAACTTTATTCATGGTGTTCTGAGAACAAATTAACTTTAAATAAATGTGAGGTAATGACATACAGTCAAAAACGTAATACCATACTTTTCGATTATGTGCTTGGAGTGGATCACTTGTTGCGTATCTCAACAGTAAAGGATCTTGGAGTGTGGTTTGATGGCACTTTGTCCTTCAATGGACATATCGACAGAACATCGGTTGGTGCCCTCAGAACGTTGGGGTTTATCACTAGAAATACGTTGGAGTTTACGAATTTAAAAACAATAATAGATCTTTATTCTACGCTGTTACGGAGTAAACTTGAATATTGCTGCATTGTGTGGACCCCATCTTATTTAACGCACATTGCCACCATCAAGAAAGTACAGAGGAAGTTCATTAGGTTTATCCACTACCTCGATTCTGGGTATTATCCACCTAGAGGAGAACTAAACTATATAAATCTGCTACAATCTGCTACAAGATTATTGTCTGCGAGGTTTGTGCGCGGTGTGATGTCGGGTGCGCTAGTTGCATCGGAAATACTAACTCAATTGAATGTGAAGGTGCCGCGGATAAATGCGCGAGTTTATAGTGCCTATATGCCAAATCGTGCTAACACCAATGTTGGGCTAAACTCTCCAATAAACAAACTAATGCGTGCAGCAAATTCGGTTGAGTGACAGCTTGTTCTTGATTTTCTTTTTTTGTTTATCTTTTTTGTTTTTGTTTTTTATTGTTTGTCTTATTTCATCTTTTCTTTTAGAATTGATTATTGTTGATTTATATAATATTATCTCTTTATTGGATTGTAATCCGTTGGGATAATAAAGAATATTATTATTATTATTATAATGATTTGAATCCGCGCTTTCTCCAAGAACCATCACCAGATACTTTTAAATTCAAGATTGACCTTTCTTGCCTTTCGTTTTCTTTCTTTTCTTCTTCAACAGCTTTTCCGCTGAAATATTCGAACACCGATTTGGTGGCTGAACGCTGATGTTTAACAATATTATTGTATGCACTATTACTCAAATCGTCGCATATATCCATAAAATTGCAAAATAAATTTATTCCTTGCCTCCCAATGCCCAGCAGACGCATAACAAAAACAATTCTACGATTTACTTCATAACCAGTTTGAATTAACGGTCCTGAATTTATGTCTCTTCGGCCACAACGACAAAGCAAAACGAGCTTGAACCCAAGACCTCTCATTCTATCTACCTGAAATTGTATGGTATCTTTACATTTGCAACAAATAACAACTTTAGCCAAAACACGGTAAAAAACTCTATCAAACGATACGAATGTTGACAATTCGGTGCAATATGTTCAGTTCTTCCAGTGGACAGTTTTTTTGCACTTGCACTCTGTCCTGCAACTTCTTCTTCTTCTTTTTTAGTGTGCTGATTCCCGTGAAAATGGCGTTTTCGCGGCCTAGACGCATTACTACATTTCGGATAGGAAGACATTTTGAATATTAAGAGTTATATCTCACATTCAAGACTAAAGAAACTCAAATTTGGTGTTTTGAATTAATACTATCAGCGTAATATCCGATTAGTGGAAGGGATGAAAATAAAAGCAATAATAGATTTTTCCCAGCGATAATTATTGCCAGTACTATTTCTCAGGGTCGTAAAAACCATGAGAAATATCGGAAACTATACGACAATTTAAAACAACATCGATTTTTACCATCATAAATAAAAGTCGGCCAGACAAAAACAGGATCGAATTTAAATTCGTTGAAACTAAAATTATTTTAAACCTATTATTTCTCTACAATTTGCAATAAAGGTGTGTACCTTAATGCGGCCCTTAGTGAATAATCCCATTTTTGTCCGTTTTCTTCCCACAGAAGTAAAGAGACGGTGTTAGAAAAACCGGGAAGACTTGTAGATTGTTATCTATAATGTACGTGTTAAAGGTTTATAACTTCTACAATTTAAATCGTTTTAAATTAAAACTTCATAGAATCAAGAGCTTAAACAAGATATTGCTATAAAAATAATCGACTTTTTGATCATGTGATCATGCGTGAGTCACATAGTTTATATGTATGATATTCACAAAGAACGCGCACCGGAAAAATACGCTGTTTTAACGGAAGTACTTAGAATTTCGCTTTAAAATTTTGCTATCACATTCTTAAGATGTTTCCCCCCTTAAGCTTTTTGGGTGCTAAAAGTAACTCATATTTTTAATAGTTTAGCACTTTTTTTCTTAGAAAGGATGTCCACTTATTCTAAGAATACTGTATATCATAATCAACTTCATTTTAAGTTCTTATACAAATTTCTTATACTTACCATAACCATTAGGATAATTTCGCCCATATACATCGCCTGTTCGTCTATCATCATATGCATATCCCCTTGAATCACCTCCATAATCATCATTATATCGTCCACCATTTCTATTAAAGCCATAATCATCGCCATAAACCCCATAATCACCATCACCGCCATAACCACCACCGTAACCACCACCCCCAATTCTAGGTGGTCGACCCAAGTTATCCCGAGAATAGGGCCCTGAACGTTCTCTTCCACCTCCATGAAGTGGTCCTGAACCGCCGCCACCTCTATTTCGTCGCCCAAACGGTTTGACACGTCCTTTTTCCACAGAAATCCTCACCCCCATAAATGTAGAATTGTTTAATTCTTCTATTGCTTTCATAGCCATGTCAGAATCTTCCAAGTGAAGAAATCCGCATCGAATTGCGATATCGCATTCAGCAATCGCGCCATATGGGGCAAACAATTCTCGTAGGTCTTTTGTAGTCGCATTTGCCGGTAGGTTACCAACAAAAACTTTTGTTGTTGTGGAAGAGCGTCGACTCTAAAAGAACAATTATAAGATTAAATACGAATGTTTAAATGATATTTACCATTGTTTGTAGTGTTCTCTATCTGTTTAGAATATCAAACAATATATATAATAAACTGTTATGTCGAAGCTGAAGAATACTTGGAACTGTCAAAAAGTTTGTTTACTTGAGGTACCAACATCTAAAAGAAAATTATTCAATACTTGATACAGATATTTGAAAGGATTATTAAATCGTATTTCTAATTATTTAATTTGAATAAATGTTGAATAGTTAATTATTGAATGATAAATTATTGATAATGATGATTATATGAAGTAACAACCAATTAAAATTAAAATTGCCATAATGTTATTGCGCAGTTGAAAAATAGTGTTCCAACTTCCAACCGTTCCAACCAACCGTATTTTAGCGGTGGCTCATTTTTAATTGGGCAGTCGGTCTGTCAGTGTCTATTAAGGTTATGTTTACTGTCAAAGGGTATGTTTGGATTCATTTGGATTTTTCTCTATTTATTTAAGTTTTGGGTGTTTTATTTAACAAATCTCAATTATGTATTTTAGGTTTTTTGTACATATATATTAATAATAAGGACATAAAGACAATGAGTGATGATAGTGATGCATCAAATATTTCCTCAGACTCTTCAGATAGCAATTTCTTCATGGACAAACCCAAAATAAATAATACAAACTTCCTTGGTAAAATATTTATATATTACAGCTAATGAAAATCTATATGAAGAGTATTTATAAGTAGAAAAAGTATTAATTTAGTTTATTTATTAGAGGAAATTGTTCCAAGTTATAATGATGATAAATTTTTCCATCATTTTCGCTTGAGTAGAGAATCTGTAGATATTATTGTAGAGAATTTTGAAGCCAGCGAACACTATAAAGATTCATCTGGTCAATATGGAAACATTTCATCAAGAAATCAAGTATATTTTTGTTGATTTATAAAGATTTCATCAATAACCATGTATTTTAATTAAGGTATTAATAGCACTATGGTATATTGGCCACATGTCTAGTTTTAGAGATGTGGCAAATAGGTTTGATATTACCATAAGTTCGGTCCACAGGATATTACGCAGAGTAGTATTCACTATAAGCAATTTGGCACCAAGTATTATTACCTGGCCAACAAATGAAGAAAAAATTGAGAGTGAGAGATATTTTTGTCAAAATGGTTTTCCTATGGTGATTGGAGCTATAGATGGAATCCATATTAAAATAGACAAGCCTTTAGAGGATAGTGATTGCTACAAAAATAAGAAAGGATACTATTCTATCCAAGTAGGTTTATTTAAGAGTTAAAACTAAATTGTAAATGTAATATGATTATTCTGGTTTAGATGCAAGCTGTGTGTAATCATAACAGAAAAATTATAGACCTTTTTGTTGGTTATCCAGGTTCTGTTAATGATAGCAGAGTATTCCGAAATTCGTCGTTATTTAATAAATTAGAAGAAAAATGTGGAAATTACTTTATTCTAGCGGACAGAGGTTACCCCTTAAAACCGAACGTTTTAACTCCATTTAAAGACAAAGGTAATTTAACTGATCGACAAAAAAACTACAATAGACAACTAAGTAAAAGTCGTTATGTAATTGAACACTGCTTTGAATTGCTAAAGAAAAAGTTCAAGCAACTATACCATTTAAAATCACGTAGTGTATCTTTTATAGTTCATTTCATACGAGCAGCGTGTGTTTTACATAATATTGCGCTAGGTGATTTAATCCATATAGAAGAAAATGAAAATGCTAATGAAGCAATAGAGAATCATGATGAAAATGGTAGTGATGATGAAGATGATGGTGATATAAATGCGCAAAATATACGCAATAGAATTGTAAATATGTTAACATAAATGTATTAGACACTTTGTATTAGATTTGCTTGTAAATAACAAACCGACGTTAAAAATAAAATAAACAAAAAAGAAACTAATATTATTATTACAAATAAGCTCAGGTGCAAAAAAAAACACAACAAGCTAATATTTGATAAAGTTTGAAATGTGATAACTCGTTCAATTTCGTTAAATTTTCATGATTTTTTCAGCAAACTATAGATAAAAATGTCTAATTTCATGTTCAATATCCAGCCTTTATTAAATACTGGTCATTTAGTCGGTATACAGGGTTAATTGAAACATCGCTCTAGGATCCTAATTTTAAAACACCCTGTGGAATAATTTAGTGCATAAATGGTTTCAAAATTATAAGTTTTGTTAAGAACCATTCGTTCCCTACATTTTGTTATTGTGGTTCATGTCTCTAAGTGCATTCGTTCATTTTTAAGAGGGAAATGAATTTGTCACTAACAATTTCCTTAAGATACGTTACTTTTTAATAAGGTGGCCTTGTTCATTGTTATTCTAATGACAGTTTGATAGCATCAGTTTGTGAGACTACCAATGAAAAGAAAAAGGTAAGAAAAGCAAACAAGAACAAAAGAAAAATTTAAAAAGACAGAAAATAAAAAAATTTATTAGTTTAATTAAATTTATTAGTTTGTCAAGTTGTTCAAGATGTTGAAAGAAAGAAGAATATGTGCGATTTGAAAAAATGAAAATGACGTCAGAAGGGCCTTTAGACAACCCTGAAAAAAAATCTGCTCATGTGTACCCTGTGCCCCCCCTTTTCACCAAAAAAAGTTTATTTAAACTTTTTTCGATTCGAGTTTTGGTTTTCGAGATGTAAGCATATCTCGAGATCTTATTGTTCAAATTCCTGAGATGTAAATCGAAAAAATTAAGAGATTTGTTTTCTTCTATTTCTAAAGTAAAATTCAGATTAGAGTGAAGCTAATTGATGTAGCAAAAAAAAAGCATCCCATATGCAAAAAATATCGGATAAAAGTCCTGACAATGACATACTCATGGGAGGGCCTTTAGTAATCTTATAGTAGTTGTTATCAAAAGAGCAGTAGTTTTGTGAAACAACATGTCTCAATACAGTATTCAAATGCTTCACTATAGTGTTGTTATTACAAAATTTTTCAAAAATATATGATGTTAACTGAAGCATACATATATTGAATAGAGGTTTGTTACTTGTTACGTCAAAGGAAGTAAAGAATTTATTATTAAGTTCAATATTCTTGGTACTTTGAATGAATGGTTGAGAATAAGAAACGGAAAATTTAGGTTGGAAGTCAAAAAATTTCTACTTAATTTTTATATTCGAATATCTGTCATGTGATATGGTTTTTAACGTAGATTCGACTGATGATGAGTGGAATACTGCTCGAAACCGGTTCCGAATAAATATATTAATTTAAAACCGACGAGACGATAGCAACAAACCGCCCAGCAACAAACTTTTTCCCCAATATTTCCACCTATTTCTCGTGCCTATATCTTCTTTATAAAGGCTAATTCAATTCGACCGCCACCATTGGGATGTCAGAAACCATAAGAGATACAGAAATGGTTAAATGGGGGCAAAGGTGCGTATCTTAAACCTCATCATTTTTCAACAAAGATTTTGGATCTAGCCGTTTTAGTTTTTAAAATATGGCCGAACATGAAAAAAAATGACTTTCGTTTTTTGCCTATAACTTCTTTATTTTTCGTTTGTTGGTGAATCTGAAAAAACATTCTTAAGACAACTTTTTATGAAAACTGTCATGATACAACTAGAAATTTTCTCCGACGTTTCGTTTTCGTGAAACTATTATCAGGTTTATTTTTTTTTTGAATAATTGAATGTTTTTGATTGAAATTAGAATTATTAATTATCCTATTTTTTGGTGTGAAAATCAAATATGGCGTTCATAAGAAAAAATAAACCTGATGATAGTTTCACGAAAACGAAACGTCGGAGAAAATTTATAGTTGTATCTAGTTGTGTCATGACATTTTTCATAAAAAGTTGCCTTAAGATTGTTTTTTCAGATTCACGAAAAAACGAAAAATAAAGAAGTTATAGGCAAAAAGCGATAGTCATTTTTTGTTTTTCGGCCATATTTTCAAAACTAAAACGGCTAGATCCAAAAACTTTGTTGAAAAATGATAAGTTCTAAGATACGCAACGTTGCCCCCATTTAACCATTTCTGTATCTCTTACGGTGTCTGAGATCCCAATGGTGAAAAACTAAGAACACGGTTGGAAAGTTTGGTCTTTTCTATATCTTAAACCGTGTTTTCGTCCGACGATATGTTGATAATAAGAGCAGAATAAAGTAAGAAACGACACACTGCATTTAAATCACCTCCAAATTGCCCAACTTTAAGGCCTTGTGGAGCCGTTACCAGACGGAAAAAAGACAAACAGTTATTCCGAGTTTTCGTCCGCAATATCTACCGGCGTCTGTAAAAAAAGGCTCCTGGAAAAGAACCTATAGGGGGCAACTTAGTAGATACTTCTTGCCATATTAATTTCATTATTTAAATCATCTTATAGCATCTTATAGGTATATCATATCAAATTTTCTGCTCTTTCTAAGATGTATGACACACTTGAATCACGCGTTTGTACAAACGGTTTCTTTGCCAAAATTTACCTAAAACCACGAATTTTCGCCAGGACCAAACCATGTTGGGGTCAACAACTTTCTTATTTGAACGGGGAGAAAACTTTAAGACTATGTTCGTCTTATGGTAAATTTTCTGCTCTTTCCAACGGTGTGTGACGCACTTCGCTTACACGTTTTCATACGCGTTTGTTAAATTGATAAACTGAGTTAAAATGCAAAGGTTGGTAACGTTACCAGATTCAAAACCATCAAAACACAATTCAAGAATTCGAGTCTAAAATCGCTCAAAATCTTCCAGATTCGGATAAAATAGGTGTAACATGAAATAATCTTTCCGTTTTGAACAGTTTAACATGTTTTTAAACATAAAACTAGAACTAACACTAGCACTGTCACTAGAACTAACACTAGATCTAGAACTAGAAACTTTCGGGTTCGCTTCGAACTTATCAACATGAAAAGAGGTTAGGGTTCTCTCTTGGGTAAAACTTTGTCCCAGTTTTTCATTCATCAAATAAGAAAGTTAGGGTAAAAAGTGATTGCGTTTTGCTACCTGTAGGTTGTCTTTCAGGTGCGTTTCTTTTACAGACGCCGGCAGATATTAAATTACGAAAACTCGAAATAAAAGGCCAAGGTTAGCTCTTTGCGAATATGTAAACCGTTTGTTGAATTTCTTTGTGATAACAACTGCAAAAGGTCTTAAAGTTGGGCAATTTTGAGGTGATTTAAATGCAGTGTGTCGTTTCTTATTTTTTTCTGCTCTTATTATCAACATATCGGCGGACGAAAACACGGTTTAAGATATAGAAAAGACCAAACTTTCCAACCGTGTTCTTTGTTTTTCGCTATCTTTCTAGATAACGAAAATATTGACCGGAAAAGTAAACGGAAATACAAGAGAAAAGTTTGTTGGTGGGCTGAAAAACTATTGTGCAAACGTGCGATTGCGATGTGTTATATACCGTTGAAAAAAGCAGAAAATTTCCCATAAAATGAATATAGTTCTAGAGTTTTCTCCCTGTCAAATAGGAAAGTTATTAGTGCAAGAAATATTTACGTGTTTTCATCGGTAGGGGCTTTTCAGGTACGTTTTTCTTACAGACGCTGATAGATATTGGCGGACGAAAACTCGGAATAAGATAGTCCGAGGTCAGCTCTTTCCGAATATGTAAACCATTTGTTGAACTTCCATCTGATAACGGCTACACATGGCCGTGAAATTTGGTAATTTTGAGGTAATTTGAATGCAGTGCGACTCTTCTTATTTTTTTTTTGCTCTCATTATCAACCTATCGACGGAAAACTGGGTTTAAGATAGAAAAAAGACCAAGCTTTCCAACCGTGTGCTTAGTTTTTCGCTATCTTTCTAGATAACGCAGATATGGTCCCGAGAAATAGGCGGAAATATAAAGGAAAAAGTTTGTTGCTGGGCGATTTATAGTAATACCTAGTTTAATGGAGTTTCTATTCCACCAATAATCTTTACTATTACTTGTTCCCGTCATCTCTGGATTTAAAATTATGTATTCGCCTAATTCTCCATTTACATGTACTTAAACTGAATTTTATAGATTGTTATTTATGAGCATGATAATATTCCATATTATAATGAAAAACCCTTTGATTTTGAGTATATAATTCATTTATTTACAAAGAAAATGTTATTAATAATAAAACATGTTATTATACGAGCCCTAACAACTATATATTGGGACAAAATAAAATGTGTATATAATTAACAATAATTAAACAGTTTAATTTCTTTTAATAATTTTTTCAGATTAATATCATTTGATTATATAATTAACAACAATTTTGTCTAATGAACAACACAAAAAACAAAATACATACCCTATTGCATCTAATTAAACTAAAAAAATGTATATTTTACCTGACAACTTAATATTGGGACAATGCAAAATAACTTCCATAAAAATGGAACAAATTAAGATAAGTAACCTGTGGAAATAACGCAAAATGAAATGTTAAATTGCCGGTTTGTTCTAAAGCTTCTAACATTGTTGCTGTTGAGTAAATCTGTATTTATCAATTAAAATGGTGCGTGGTATCTGTACAGAGTCAAAAATCCGTGAATTAGTGATTAAAAATTATTGCCACAATAAAACAATACGTGAAAAAGCAGACGAAGTTAATATTCCTAAAAGCACAGCGTGGAAAGTAATTAAATATTATGGAAAAACTGAAGTAAAAGAATACTTGTAAAAATCTGTAAAAAAGGACGAAGAAATATTTTAAGACAAGTTACCGCTGAATGGAACAATGAAACTGGATTAAATATATCAAGGGAATGCTGTCGCAAATGGATTCTAAAAATGGATTAAAGGTTTACGAGGTTTACTTACAAGCAATAATTAAAAAATGTCGCTTTTAGAAAGTTGAAGAAAATTGTTGTTTTATAAGCAAAAGAAAAACCACTGTTAAGAGAAAAACAACAGAAAGCTAT